GGGCGTATCGTGTGGACGCCTTTAAGAAAGATCTGTGCGCATCACACACCCACCTCCCCCCACAGCAGCCCCGTGTGTGCGGTGCGGACCGTGTGCTTAAAAGGACAGCTGCCCTCGGAGCACAGAGCCGCGGGGAGAGGTCTGCCCGCTGTAGCGACCCGGGCTGCCGGCCGCTCAAGCAGTCGTCCAATTTTCCACACACTCGACCCAGTTCTGACACCAGCCCCCGGAGATAGCGCCAGACCCCACAGTGAAGGGCTCGGCCTCCCAAGACTGCGCCCCACCTCAGGTGCCAGTCCAGATGGTCACTCGTGCTTCTGACGCACTGGCTGTCGGTCGGAGCTTCCCGTGATCCCCTCGGGTTGGGTTCATTTGCTAGAGCAGCTCACGGGACTCGGGAAACCAGTTCAGTTACCAGGTCCCTGGCTTATATTAAAGGGCAGGCACAGGGGGTGGGGAGGTACAGGACCGGCCTGGACGGGCCCCACACATGGCTTCAGTTGGCGTGTGGGGCTGGGGGCTGGCACGGGCCGCTCTGGTTCCCAATCTGGAAGCGGAGTCCCCCCTTTTGTTTTTTAGGGAGGCTCCAGCCCCTATGAACCAGCCCATCCTGAGGGGGTCTCCCGAAGCCCCCCGTTAACCTCAGCGGTGTGGTTGAAAGGGCTTGGCTGTGACGACCCCATTTCACCCTTCCGGCCCCCAGTCGGTTCTGGAACTGCGGGTACGAGGCCAAGTCCTGCAACAAGAGGTGCTCCGGTGCCCTGTCACTTAGGAAATGCCGCGTGCGGCTGTGAGCCAGGGTGGGAGAAGACCAGTGCACTTAGAAACCCCAGGACCCCCACTTGCCTCTGTCCTGCAGTTCCATTAGCGATCTCTAGGGGGAGCTCAGTAAGTGTGGGTTTCCTTCCTGACCTTCTGACCCGCTCTCAGCAAACCCCTCGGGCAGTGGCTTGACTTGCAGGCAGAGCTGAGGTCTTGGGCGGTAGCCCCGCTGGGGAATGGGCATCTGCAGGAGGTTGGGGGCGGGGTGTGAGCGCCTGGGGCTGGGAGGCCCACAGCTCCGGGTCTTTCTGAGGAAGAGAATTGCCGCTGCCTTGGTTGGCTTTGGCACTGAGGCTCAGGGTGTTTGATGATGAGACGGGCGGCAAGCTCGGCCTTGCATGTGCACCACGTCCCTCTTTCTCCCTCTACGCCCAGGCCTGGGTCACCCAGGTGACGCTTTGTGTGGCCGGAGAGGTGGCAACACGGGAGGTGCATGTGGCCTGAGTGGCAGGCAGGCCCTGAGCTGCACGCCACTGACCTCAGAGTGGAGTGAGGGAGGCTGCCCTGAGGGTCGCTGCGTGGGGGGAAGGGGTGGCCCGAAAGGGAGCTGGGAGCCAGGACTGTCACCTTGCAGAGGCAGGAAGGGACTGTTCCCTGGGCTCAGCAGCGGCTTCCTTAGGAGCTGGCCTGGACTCTGGGAGCTGTGGAGACGCATCGTGGAGCGAGGCGGCTGGGTGGAGGCGAGGGGTGCTACCTGCTGCAACCAGGGAGCCCCCTTGGGCTGAAAGTGTTGTGTCGTAAGTCAGCGAGCTGCATACGAGCCGCCTTCACGAGCCAAGTAGTTAGGCGTCTTCATCAGGCGCGGCTCAGAGGGAGGCGTCTCCCACAGCTCTGAGCAGACACGGAGCGCGTTCCCCCTACTTGTACCTTCCGAGCTCTGCCTGCGGGTTTTACGAAGAGCTTCGTGCGTGATTTTTGCAGACCGCGCGTCATCTTGGGTACGCAGTGAACAAGCCCTTGGCATGAGAACATGGGAATGTTGTCAGTACTAGTCTGTTCCGTTAGATGGCTGGCTTGCAGGGTCACACAGTTAAGTCTTTATAGTTTTCTATTCAAATGAAGACAGTTATTTTACAGAATAAGGGACTATCTAAGAGTAACAGTGTTGACCTATAGAACAAGGGACTAAGAATAACAGCAGTTCAAACAGCAGTTTTCTGAAGGAGGGATTGCTCTGCTTCAGAAGGAGCAGTATGTGAGGCTCGTGTCCGGAGGGGGCTGTGGCTGGGACGCGGGGACCGTGGGCGCCGAGGGCTGTGGGGCAGGGCGTCTGCAGGGGCTCGGGCTGGCTTTGTCCGGAGCGGAAGGAAAGCACAGCAGACCAGAGGGCGTGGGGTCACCTGGAGACAAGCCCTAACCCGTCCTGCGTGGGCCTGAGGACGCGCATTGGGGGCTTCTTTCTTTCAGGGTCGCACGTGAGTTAAACACTCACTTTCCGGTTGTGAGTCACCGTCTGGGGAGGGTTGTCCGTTCAATGCGTCGCCTCTTTTCCCGTCAGGCTGGAGGGGTCTCTGCACTGGGTGCCAAGGCCTCACTGAGCCCATGGCTTGTTGGCTGCGTGTCTGGCTCCTTTCCCGGTGGCGGACCCTCGTGCTCCCGAACAGGGAGCCGCCCCGTGGGGCTGTGCCCGCCTCTGGGTGGCGGTGGGTGTTGGGTCACAGCAGGTAGCACCCTGGCTGTCAGGGTGCGGATGCTTCTTTCCGGAAGGGTCTCCACAGCCCTCTTTTCATCGCAACAACACTTGGTGTAAAGTCTAAGTTCAACTTTCTTTAAACGTCACTGGGTCTGTGTCACATCAGTGCGAGTGTGGCCGGCTCTGCAGAGCGAGCTGCAGCCCACAGAGGGTGCCTGGCTCTGGCTTGAGCCCTGGGGCGGGCGGCCCCTCAGCCTGACCACGGGGTGGGGTGGGATGGGATGGGGGCCCTGCTTTCCTCGCACAGTTCCCACTCACAGGAATGGTTCCGCCCTGAGTAGGACGGCTTTCAGCGTGAGCCCAGGACGTGTTCCTGATGGGAAAGGCGGGCCTGGGGACGGGGGGACCGTGGCCCTCTCAGCGGCGGGGTGGGGAGGGGCAGACGCTCCTCTGACCGCCCGATGGGCTGCCTGGCGGCTCCCGGCCACTTTCCCTTCTCTCAGTTTTGCAGGTGGAAGGCCGCCCACGTGTCTTTCTGCCGGTGTCGCCAGTGTCTTTGGAAATGGAGGCAACAGAACGCAGAAGCTCTTCCTGCA